TAACAAAAATACAAACAAACTGAAGAAAAGGGAAGAACAATGATGTCAAACGAATATGCATCCTCATTCATCTTGATTTTTCTTTTTGTGGAGTCTACATCTTTAGTCTCAAAACTACGTGTGCATTATGACGTTTTGTGAAAAAAAATGTGTGCGTGATGAAGAAAAATGGATATCATTTTCGGATTCAGCGTACAAGAATTACTGTAAAACATGTAAAATATATATATAACACAGCTTAAGCCTATATATAAATACATAAACTATCACTTGCGCTGGGTCCGCGTATTCGATGTGTGCACATTATATTTTCTTTCTACAGTTATCAAAAACAGAAATATATAAACTTTTTAATTTATAGCTTTCATTTTTAAGGGACTCAAGTGAACGGAATAGTGATAACCCAAGCATTATAACACTGCGATATATGAAGTTCTGCTGACATAAGCAGAAGTGTAATTTGACATGAAAGGATTGTAATAGTAGTAAGTTCGCAAACAAATCTTATAAGGAATAAAACTTTATTTTTTACCTACCAGTGTTCAGATACAGCAGAAATATGGAAAGCTTTAAATATTTTCATGGTTTGATTCGTTAAGAGCTGGTTTTCTAAATCATTCCTTGCTTTGTAACGTTTATAAAATGATCACATTGTATTTTGTTGTTGGTGTTTTTTGGGGGGAGTGAGGGAAAGGAGAGAAGAAACCCCGATTATAAACTCCCTTTTTGTGTGCTGAATATGAGAATCGTTGTTACTTTGCATAAATGTTTGTTTGTTTGTAATTATGCATAAAGCTACACAATGGGCTTTCTGTGCTCTGCCCACCACGGGTATCGAAACCCGGTTTCTAGCTTTGTAAGTCCGCAGACATACCGCTGTGCTACTGGAGGGCTTTGCATAAATAATAGGTACAGTTTATATTTATTTGGCATTGTTTAAAATTAGGGCGATTTCACAGATAGTAGGTTAAAGATAAGTAATAATAAAACACGTGTTTGATGCTTACACTAATCTGGTAGGATTGTATAGTGTTTATGATGATATGTTCGAACATATCCTTCAGAAATTACTGTTTTGTGTTACAATACACATATACCTCGTAGTTACGGACATGTCAATCTTGGTTAATAAAATATTAAGTATATTTTGTTCTTCAATACACAAGCATGAAAGACTGTAAATATTTTGCTTCCGCGCAGGTATTTAAAACCATTTTTTCTTCTGTGTTGTAGTCAAGGTAAAACTAAAGTTTAGCTAACTGATGAAATTGTGTTTACATCATGTGTTTTATACTGTTTTCAGAACTTAAAATTTTGAAAAATTTTATAACATCTCACGAGTTGTTTACAGTTAAATTTCGAATTTCCATCAGTGAAAACAGACGATATTTGATTAAAAAACAACGAAAAGCTATAACATACGTCTCTCTCTCAATAGCAGCATATAAAAATTGTTTTAAAAGCAATACTAAAAGTACTTAACAGTCTTTTTTTTTATTTCCTTTCTTAGACTAACAATGCCATTAATCGCTGTCTTCCTTTCATTGTAAAGTTTTAAAGCAAAACAGACATTAAGAGACATATATAACAGTAGCACGCTGTCTTTTATTGAAGATGACACTCATTAAGTTATACTGGCAAACTAGGTCTTAAAAAAATCATACAAAAGAATGTTTTGTTTTACCAAGAAACGAACACTTTGTGTTTCCTTCAGATCTTTCAGAATAGTGTAAACATTTCCTTTGTCTTTCTCAGTTCACTAAAAGTAAACTTAATAAGTGAAAGAAAAGGTCAAATACGAAACATGTTTGCTTTTTATTTATATATTTTGTGTGTACATTATAATAAAATTAATACTATTCAGCAATGAAAATTAGATATTTGTGTATTTCATGTAATTTGTTTCTTTAATAATATATTTAAAGGTAAAAACCTATTATCTAGTAAATAGTTACTTATAAGAACTTTATATTGCTATTTGATATTAGAATTATTTTTCATTTTTCTTCTTAAACTCTGAAATTTCTAGTGCCTGGCTGTTAATTGGTCGATATTGGTCTAATACCACTATAATTGCTCTGTTTTATTTGATTTGATAACCTGTTTCTCCTAGAATGCTGAATTTATATGCGTTATATTTATTATTGAAGGGCACGGGTTGATCCTGTGGTTGAAGTTATTTTTTGTTCTCTCATTCTACCAGTAATGTGCAAAGTTTGTTCGTTAATATTTTCAGTGAATATTTAGGTTACACTTAACGTGTGGTTCATCTTCAGAGCGGAGGTTGGTCCTGTAGTAGAATTCTGGATTTCGGAGCTGGCGAGACGGATTCGAGTCCATGCGATACCACAAAATATTCCCCGCACTTTAAGCTGTGGGTGCGTTATAAGAGTAGCAGCCAGTCCCTTAACGTGGATGATGATTATAATGGTAGAGTACTGCTGGCTAGCTGCCTTCCCAATCACTGGTTAAGTAATTTAAAATTAGGGACGGCGGCAGATAACCTTAGTAGCTCTATCGTGAATACAACAGAATTAATTTATTATTGAAGTGATCAATCCGTTGTTTCTTGGATTTTTATGCCAAAGTAAGATTCATCTACGTTGCTAATATGGCATCTGTTGATAACCTAATTTAGTTTTATTTATGTTGATATAATTCGAGTTATTTGTGTTTTAAATATTTCGTAGGACTTGGTTTGTGGCGTTGATTTAATGGGTGTTGAATTCTATGTTTTTCTAATGAGTAATTTACGCCTCTTACTTGGATAAATGCTAAAGAATAAATTGACAGTCTAAATGAAAACGTTTTTTACTATATTTTCTGCGACGTTTTGAGCAGATGCCACGTTACTAACGTGCCCTTCATTGTATGCATTTGTTTCGTTTAAGTGATATATCACAGCATATTCGGTATTTATTATCTGTGATTCTGTTTATAAGAATAACTTTTATGTATATTTATACATGAAAAATAAATAATTACAGCACACTTAAAATTGTACAAGTTTGTATACATTTTTCTGTGTATTTTTTACAAGTCCTATAATGTTCGTAGTATATCTTCTAATGTATGATGTATACCGAGCGTTTATTCTCCAAATCTTTCCTGATTAAAATAAGGTTTTTCCATCTGTTGTTCAATTTTTACTATGTGTTCGCGTCATGGTTCCCATAGCAACTCGTGAACACGTTGATCCTCGAATAGGAAGATTGATGAACAAGGTTTCCTGAGTTCCGGCGTGAGAAATGGTTACGGGCTGAGAAATTCCTATTAGGAGAGCTTCTATTATCTTACCAGTGATGCATCTGCCAAAAGACGTTTTTCTAGATGTGCAGACTGGAACAGGTCCGAACTCTGATTCAAATGCAAATATCTTTTATCTAGAAAGACTGTTAGTTATTCTCTCTCCACTAATACCACGAAACCAAGAAAGAGAATGAAAAGAGGAGGGGTGGAATGAGGTGGTTGGCTCCCTGAACCACTGCACTCTTGATTCGCTACTCAAACAAAAGGAGATGCATTTGTTGTAAAGAAACAGTTGATATTGCTTTAAAATATTGACTGTATATTTAACTAGAAGTTGAAAAAATTTGTTCTTCCTTAAAGAGAATGATGTTATGTTCACCAATCATAGACAAGGTTCGTTAAACAAATGCAACTGTATATCTGTTTCGAATAAGATCAAATGGCAATTAAATAGACTGACGGGCAAACAAACAGATTAAAAAGATAGATGGGTGAGAGAAAAATTCAAATTTTCGTTTTTGGATACCCTGATTAATTATTCTTGTTTTGTGTTGGCTGGAATAAATTAACTTGAAATAATTTTAAATGCCCATCAATCATACAAGTAGAACTAAATCTTATACGATCAAGTCACGCGAAAATTGTGGCTTTAAGGTTTACTGGCCTTAGATCCCAATTTTGGGAGGTGTAGAAAAGTGTAGTTTAAGTTGTAAAAGCTTTTGTGCGTTTGCATGCTAGATTAAAGATAGTTTTCCTTCGATTTTGCATGTTGTATTTTTAGAACTTTGTGAAACATTTTTTAAGAGGCTATGTATGTATAAGCCACTATTGGTGCGTGTGTATCATCGAGCTCTGGACAGAAACTGATGGAGAAGATAAACTATTTTATTTATATATTTTAGATATCAGATGAGACGATTTTAAACGTTTTATCAGTGTAATCCCTGTTATATTTTTAAAAAGAGGCATCACTCATGATTGATAAAATAATTGCAAGATTTATAAGATGAATGAAATTCTAGACTTTTAGTTTCTGACAACGTTCTGGCTGTAATAATAGTTATTCATTTATACATACTTTGGATGACCTTTTTTTGTTTTTCTCAATCTAAATATTTATTAAGTAAAATTTTTCATTTCTAGTAAGGATTTACATCTAAACTTTGATGTTTTGCCCCGGTAGCTATGTGGTAATTTTAAGGAATTATAACTTGAAAATTCAAAGTTTGATTCTTGTGGTAGGCACAGCTGAAATGGCCCATTGTGTAGTTTTGTGTTTATAACCAAATAAACAATCTCTCTCTCATTTATATTATAAACATTACTCTTCGTTAACACTATATTACTCTATTAAGCTCAATCTACCGAAATGGATATTTTTTTACGGTCGATTGAAGTTTTCAGTAGAATGTGAAAGATTTTTCATTGTCAATACCGTAAAGATTTTTATGGATTTCATATCGGGAATGAATCATCAAAATGTACTGTAACGTCAATATAAAAAAAAAGACTTTGTAGTAAAGGTAACCTTTCTGAGCATGGAAAGATTGTTGGATTAACTTTATGTCACTGAAAGATTAGCAAGGTTTTGTTTTTCGATGTCTTTACGTATATATTGATTTAATTAAAAATGTATTAATAAGCATGTGTAATGTTCTATTATGTTCAATAATCAGCTAGTGCAAAAACTCGATGCGCTATTTCGTGTGTGTGTGTGTGTGTGTATATATATATATATATTGTTTTCTTAGTATGTCCAAAAGAAACTTTCAAGTCCACAGTCGGAGACGAGAAGTGCACTCCTTGTCCACCACACAGCAGCGCTCCCTATAAAGGATCAATTGAATGTCACTGTGAGGAAAATTATTACAGAGCATCGAAAGATCCTAAACACTTGTCATGTACTCGTGAGTATTTATGATACATGTAACTAATAGTTTTATGGTGTGTATTTTGTGTATAATTATTAATTTCCGTGCATACGTCTAAAAAAAGTCGAATATCTTTAAAGATAAAACTACATCACAAATAACGTGTAACCAATAAATATACTATTAGCCCAATGAAGTTGTATAAATATTTCCTGTGGTAGTATTTAGATATCATCACATGCGGAATGATCTTAAGAGTTAATAAAAAGTGTTCTGACATTGTCTTGTAAAATATCTAACGAAATTTTTTCCCCATTAAAAATATGGTTAAGAACCAAAATCTACCACGCAAAACAACAATTGAAAAATTACAACTTCAGTTTTTATCTAAAACTTCTTTCTTATAGAACCGCCTTCTGCGCCTCAAAATCTGACCGTTAATTTCGTAGACCAGTCTACTGTCATATTATCCTGGCAGGCTCCGAAACTCCTTGGTGGACGAACAGATACAAACTATAGGGTAGTGTGTGATGCCTGTGGCAATGCTGTTTCTTATGTTCCAGCTCAACAAGAATTCAACGATACAAAAATCACAATTTCAGGGCTAAACCCCGTAACAACGTACAAATTCCTGATATATGCAGAAAATGGTGTATCGAGTTTTAGTGACACCCACTATGTAGACGTAACGGTTACGACTGAGGCCTCAGGTGAGTTTATTTTTCAGTTATTTGTTCCAAACGATGAGTATAATATTAATTATTATTATTAATTTTTAGAAATAATTTGTTTACAGTTATAGGTATTAATATTTTAATGGTAAAGTACGTTAGGTAAAACTTCTTGACATACTAAAAACATTTGGTGGAGTATCCCTTTATCCTCAATCAGCTTATAGCACTGACCTTTACTTGAAAAACCGAAACAGAACGCCCCTCAGTGCCCAGCGGTATGTCCGCGGACTTACCACGCTACAAACCGGATTTCGATACCCGTGGTGGGCAGAGCACAAATAGCCCATTGTGTTGTTTTGTGCTTAACTTCAAACTGAAACAGAACAGTACCTGAAAATTATGCGCCTTTGTATTATTTACCTCCTAACCCATAAAATATTAATGTTATCACATATGCATAGTGTAGGATATAACTATTAGATATAAGATTAAATCAATAACACTGCAATAAACCTTTACTCCTTTCTTATTATCCTTGAGCTTTTTTCTGACAGTAAAAAATATGCTCTTATTTCGAAACTATTCAGATACTCTAAAAGGAACGTATTGTAGTGTCACCTATTGGGAATTTTTGAAATTAAATACTTTGAAAACAGGTCTAACATATTTTCATCCAAGTATAATAATTAGTATATTCGAGTGAAGTTAAAAACGAGTAATAGGTTACCTATATTACAAGGAACTGTGCTCAACCCGTATGATCGGGTAGGATTAAAATTTAGTACAGTTAATTTCACACCACAGTAACTTAACTTAAAACTTCATGCTTAATATAGGAAATGACTAGACCATATAATAAACTTAAAATGTATAAATACTTGTAAAAATATAATTATCATTAATTCATTGCCAAAAACAGGATACAGTAAAATGACTTACATTAGAGTAATTCATGAAGTAAGTGTTCACCAGTATAAATTTCCCCCACAGACACTCATTCAATAAACTAATCACTTTAGTGAAAGTTGAAATAACATCAACCTGGAAACTAACAAATATTTAAATTTGATTACTCAAAAATGCATCATTAAGAGGTAAGGTACAAATAAGTAATAATTATTAATTGTTATAAAACCGTGTACAATTCGTTTTGAAATTAGACTTTACTTTTAATTACAGTCAACCCACTTCAGTTTATAGGCCAACAGAAGGCATTAGTCAGTTTAGTCTGTCAGAAGAAGTAGCTCTTCATGAAAGCTGATTTATCAGCACATTTCTTTTACATCATAATTCTGTTTTTCCTTTCACTTAAAAATAAAGTGCAAATGTTACATTGATAATCTTTCCCAATAATGCATAGTACACACAGTAAGGGATCATATAGTCCCTCAAGACTGTCCTTGCACACCAATAAACACTTTAGCTTCTTGAGAAAGGTAAAAATTTAAACCCACTCTCCATTTTTCAGGAAATTGTTAATTTCCTCTGTTAACTCCTGCAAAGTGTTGAATAACAACTCATTTCAAAAGTCAATCACCTTATAATAAAAATAAAACTGTTTTAACTGGAACCTAGCATGTTTCTTTCAAATCTTAAACCTGTATCTTCTCATATTCAAAATATGACCTAGAGTAGTCGGAGGCCTTTATGCTATCAGTCCCACATATAATCTTGTAAAATCCTCAACTTCTTAAGAGAAGGTAAGCAGGAGCAGTGATGGTGGTGGGGGTTCTGGGGCTGATGCTACTCCAAAATGTGTCTTAGCTTCTTCTGCACCTCCCATATACAGAAAGTTTCTACCAATAACTCTGGAACTAATAAGTGCAAAACATTCTTCATGAGTCACTTCTTGCATTTTCAGAATATTATATCATTTTATTGTTTAAAATATTAAACAAATGTATTGAGTGAGTTTTTTTTAATTGTTCTTGATTTCCACTGCAGTGCCATCTGTTGTAACCAATGTGCGAATCCTGTCAGCTAAAAGTTCTGAAATTGTGTTGGCTTGGGATCCTCCAGAAGATCCTCTCACAGTCATAGAAATGTATGAGGTGCGATACTTCCCTCGAGGCAATATAAAAAATTCATCTGCCATCTTGACAAAGGAAAAAAAGACTGAGTTCACTAATTTAAAACAAAGAATAGAATATGGATTCCAGGTAATAAATAACTTTTGACCCTACTGTGTATAGATCACAGGCTTTGTAATAACATGCTTTGTCAGAGTTGTTAAAAAAAACAGCACAACTGTTATTTTACAACTAACAGAGGATGACCATCAAATTTAATATGGAGATTGGTATGTCATTGTAAGTGTTTATGATATCAGTTTATGCAATTCTGAATGGAATACCACTAAGTATTGATAAATGGCAAATAAATAATTTTATGTTCAGGTTTTGTAGTAAAAGGTTACACTCAAGTCATAGGAATTGTATCTATCTTCAGTTGCAGTTAAAATATTTTCTTGTACATATGGTAATATTAAACTGAAATATTCTAGGTCAGAGCCAAGACAACCCATGGGTGGGGAGAATTCAGTAAGACCATTTTTAAATCAACTGATCAGACTATTGTTGACAGTACTGGTATGTGGCTTAATTAATATATTATAATTTTAATACTCTAGACTATTGCATGAAAATGTGTGTGCCATTGTGTTTTATATGGGTTATAATTAAAGTTATCTTGCTAGTAATTGTAATCTCAACAAATTATGGTATGAGTGATATGGTGTCATATTCTGAAAATGCTTCTAATTAGGCCTTCTGTGGCTCAGCGATAAATCTAGGCTTGTAACACTAAAAATAAAGTTTCAATACTCATGGTGGGCACGGCAAGAAGCTCATTTTGTAACTTTGTGCTTAACAACAAGCAAATTATCTATTTTATTTGGCCATATAAGAGTGGCTTGTTTGTTTTTAGTTTCCAAAATGCTTTGTGTGATACCCAACCAATATATTGTATTGGTAAGAAATGTTCAGATGAAAGACAAATGCAGAGCATAGAACTACCATGGGTTATGTGTTGTAAGATGTTGATACTGAAACTTGAAACCAGTCCATTTAATCTTATCATTTGGGTGAAATGCATAGCTTGTATTTGATTATTTGCCTAATAACCAAACTATCATAATTCTAATATGCTAAATTGGTTTTGTGGCTGTTATTGGAAAATCTAAGAAATAATAATTAAAAATATAATTATTTGGTATAATGCACTATTCTGAATACTGGTTCACATACTTCATTAAAAATATAATTATTTGGTATAATGCACTATTCTGAATACTGGTTCACATACTTCATTAAAAATATAGAAGCATTAGCATATTTACTTTTGAAAGATTAATGTTTCTGAAAATTTTAATTTGAATGAGCATTTAATAAATGTTGAACTACAAATGCTAATTTTGTGTTAGATATATATATATATTTTATCGTTTATTCCATTCTGGTTATATGTGTTTGTTTGCTTCTCAACACATGAAAATTGATATTAACTTTTCATCTCATTTTTAATTAGCTTATGTAGAAAATGAAGATAAAGTTCAAGTTCGAATCATTGCTGGTGCAACTGTTGCTGTGGTTGTTCTTATTGTTGTTGTCATCGTTATGATCATTCTCTACATCAGAAGGTAAGAAAAATATCTCATCATATGGGAATATGTTGATTGCTAGAATATTTATGAAAATGTACTACGTTGCAAACTGCCAATTCTGAGTATAATGTATTTGTATCAAACTTTTAGCATTAGATACCAAAATAAATGGGTGAGATAGTATACTAAGTGAGCTCTATAGGTACGTCCCCCAAAACAAAACTACAAATTTTGGTCACAAAACAGTATATCATTTTTAACAGTTTTAGTACATATACCTTAGCTTTATCTATGTAATTTAAAATTGCTTGTTTTGGAAACAGCTGGTGGAGTTGGAGTCCAAAAATATATGTGATTATTTTTACATAAAGGATTATTTGAAATGTAGATCAGACAGGAACTGATGTGCAGATTATCATCGTTAAAAGCACCAAAATGGTATACAGTATGTAAATTACCAATATGAAACATAAAACTTTATGTATCATTGTTAGCATCCAAAGATTGCTCTGAATGAAGTAAGCTAACATGAGAGAAGTGTTTGTTAGAATTATTAAGTATGCTTGCTTTATGTCTACTAAGTAAAAAAAGGAAATGAAAACTCAATAAAATATGCTAATTAGATACTTTACATAAAATTTAGTAGCTTTGTACGGTGGTTGATGTTTTCTTGCATATAGAGTATTTATGTGGATCATGTATTAAGTATTATCATCATATTGTCAGAGCTCCAAGTTAACTTTTAATAGGTAACTAGCCCAGGACTAATCACACAAAAATGTTTTTCTATTAAAAGAATATGTACACAAAACATGAAGATTTGTTACTTTATGTTTACTTTCAAAACTTAATTTGGAAGTTTTGTGGAACTAGACTACATATGTTATTGTTTCCATGGTAGTCATTAAAAAGTTAAGTTACAACAAATTTCCAATAGATAAATAAAACACAACAGTCAACCTTTATTGTTAGTTTCAACATTTTGGTACAGTTTAGCAGGTGTTATAATTATAGACAACCATGCAATGCAAAATCCCTTTAAATGTTAAAGGTGTAATTGTAGCTGACACATCTTTAAAACAACACAATGTATAATGATTACAACGAAAAGTAAAAACAAGTAAGATATTGAAAATGTAATTGAACTATTTTCACTTAGATAGTTGAGGCCTTAACCTGATCATGTTATAAAATTCAAACTATGATATAATATTTGCACTATTATATTTCAAGAATTGTCAGCTACAGATATATCTATATAACCAATAAAATGTTCACAATCTAAATATTGTAATGATTACTGCAAAACATTTAATCTAATACCACAGTTGTAGTCTTTGAATCAACATACTGAGCAGTGTACCAATGTCAATGTACAGAGAAAGAATTTACTGATGTTGTTAAATTACTTTTCTATTTTTGGAAATAAAAAATTTGAAAATGTTGAGTTTGAAAAAGTAATATCCTCATTTCACCATGAAAAAGCAATATATGAGTGTATCAAAAACTTCAGAAATAAAACAGATACTCAGTATTAAGTCACTAGCCCCATCTGACTGGTGTGTCATATCTGCAACTAGTCTGATCTGAATGCATTGCCTCCCAGTGGCACAATGATATGTTTGTGGACTTATGCTAAAAACTGTTTCTGATACCAGTGGTGGGCACAGCACAAATAGTCCATTGTATAGCTTTGTGATTCACTATAAACATACACTGAATGCATTTTTTTTTTGGCTATCCAGCTAGTGTTAATGTTGAGCCCAGAACACTTTTCTCTTCTTTCTTTTTAGCTCAAAATGACCAGCATGCTTTTCCATCCTCCTGAAATAGTTGCATTTTGCCTTCTCTGTTGTAATAAGTGTTTTATTACCCTTGGCTAGCATGTTCAGTGACTAGTAGACTCTTATGGCTGTTGTTAATTTGTGACAGCATAATATTAGACTTGAAATAACTGGTCATCACCTGGACAGCTAAAGTCTGTCTCATAAGCCTATCTGTTACAGGGTACATTATAAAATGTTATACCGATCCAGAAATCTAACATCTGGATAATCCTAAAAAGAAGGATGTCCCTGTATAATTAAATATCTCACTCAAAATCAATCAGACAGGAACCATCCCCAGCGCATTAACATCCTTGGTATATGAAAATCCTTCAGGGAAAGTGCAAGAGGAAAGACCATAGGAACCAGCATGTTCATTCATTGGGACCCACAACACAGTAGCAGTGAACACAAGTTCAACTAAGTTAGAGAAGAGAGACACCCATATTACAGGTGTGCAGACTTATGTTGATTGGTGCAGCTCGGAATCCAAAACCCAGTCACCAGAAATCGACATCCATGTGGAGGTAGGGTGAGGGATCCCAATCGAAAAGGTGAACTGCAATTTTTGATGGCTCACTCAGAAGCTACAACATCACCTCATATAAAAACCTGTTCAGATATAGAACATGAAATTGGAGGACATCTTGTCATCAACATCAGAAGAACACCACCGCCCTACTTTCAACTGAATGGATTCATTATTGTTTGTATTGTATATCATATTCAGGAGGAGGCCTGAAAAGTGGTAAGGACTCCCATACTCAACTGGAAGAAAAAAGGAGGTAGAAAATGCAGTGGAGAGTCCAGAAGAACATCAATACAAGAAACAGTGCAACAGGTGACCATGAAAATCCTATTTTGAAAAGCAGAGTACTCCTGATTTATTCAATCTAAGGGATGGGCAGCTATCCCCTTCTGCTTTACCTATGAAGTCCATGTGTTAGTATGGTCCGGAACGGGCATATTAATGTAGCATATATATTGAGAGGAAAATCTATGAGCATTCTTGTGGAACACCCGATCTCAACAGTGTGTGTTTAGTGACTATGGAAATTATAATTGTGAAGTCATTATGGCCCTACTTTGTGGATTTGACTAGTTTAAGTATACCTGGACATGCACCACTTGTCACAGAGTGGGATTCTTAAAGAAAAAAAGGGACAAGCTACCTGATGCATGTGTAATTGTGCACGAAGTAAATTATATCACGTTTGAGGTGGAAACATAAACTTCGGGGAAAACCAAAAAAAATGTGAAGTACAATAAAGGACAGTGATCACTTAAAACTGTTAAAGTGAAGTAGTAAAAAACACATTGAAAAATATTTCCATTTCATTTGAAGTTTAACAAATATGGGAAGAGAGCTCAAGCAAAAAACGTCTTGATGATAACACTGCCAAAGGAGAAGTGGTAGTTTGGTAGAATTGAATAGAAGGATTCACATGCCTCAGGAGGGTGTACTTCACTCCTATTGGTGGAGGGTTGTCGCATGATGATTTGCACTTGAGACGCAGTTAAATCACATTGATCGTGGGAGCTTAAGGCTTGTAGCATGCGAAATAATTTTAGGATATAGAGAGCAGCACTGAACGAGAATAGCTATATCTGTGAGCAGAGTTAAGGTACCATATTAGAAATGCAAAAGTGAATGAAACTGAAGTATATTTTAGTATCTTGTGCATCTTTGCATGTACAGATTGTGTCGCTTTAAAGTTTTAGTCTAACTTATAATATGTTAAAATGTTTGTTTAATTGTTTATCATACTTGAAATTGCATTCTTAAATACAAATAACCATTAAAAATGTAAGTATAGTTTTATGCTCATTATGTTTTTATCTGGAACTTCTAGTGTTCAAAGGGACAATTCATGTGTTTGACTTCAATATTCCCACAGTAATAAGCTAATAGATAATTTTTACCATTGATGTATCTTGTTTCTATAGAAGTTCAGAGGAATGCAATAAAAAACAACCAAGTGACTGCGACACTTTAGAGTATCGAAATGGGGAAGGTAATAAGTGTAAAGGTTGGTATTTGATTCTATAATCTGTTCTATGTATTTGTAGATTTTAAATCAACACAATATACTGTTTCAAAACTGATTAAAAGTAGAAGCTCTAAAACAATACTTTTATAAGATGTTGCATTGCCACCTGGTGATATGAGAAGAGTTAATTGAAAATTATTATGCATTTATATTTCCTAGTAATGACTTGTTTAAATAATTTTATTACGTGTATTTGATAACATCTAGTTTGAATGATTTTACTGAGAGATTAAATAAATGTAAATACCATTAACCTTGGTTTTACTATGTACGAGTTATTTTACAAGCCATCACTGATATTAATATAACGTTTTAAGATTGTTCTTGTGTAGTCACCAGTAGCATATTATTTCTAAACTATACATGTGTAATGTTACAATTGCAGTTTGGATGAATTAACCACTGTGAGAATTTAAGATTTTGTTTTCCCATTGCAGTAATTTTCATAGGTTTTATTCGAAATTACTTCTTAGTCTTGTAAATAATAATGTCACACTTTGAAAATGTTTTCTTTCATTTTTAATACTTGTCTCCTCATAGTTTATGACAAGCTTTGTAGATTAAGAAAAAATTACTAGCAATTTATATTATCAACAAAATACTAAAGTGTGAAATATCTATTTTTTATATAAAAGATTATATCAGAAAAGTAGGGTCTAATGTTTTTTAAAAGTAAATTATTTACATTTTTTGCAATCTTTTTCTATGCACTCTGAACTAACAGTAATGCCTTCCTTGGATCATCCTCCTATTGTTCCTACTGCCCTGAGTAAGTACTTACAGCCTTTTTCTATATGCTTCTTGTGTTTATGGCTTTTTTAAATAATTTTCTTTCTTTCCCTGGTTGTGGGCTATGCAGTCAAAACTCTATGCCTATTTCTATCACAGTTTATCCTACTCTTTTGAAAGTGTTTGAGAGTAGAATATATAATTCTTAAAATAATTTGATAGTGTGTCCAAATTGTTCTTCCATAGGGTTCATAATGTATGTATCAATAGTTTTGCTGCAACTTTTTAGCCTAGAACTTCTATGGTCTGCTAGAATAACTTAAGATGTTGCAGACATGTATTATCATAAAATACTATATTAATATAGTTGAGACACCTTACTTCATGTATGAAAATATGTGTGTGTGTGTGTGTAGAAAGAGAGAAATAGTCTCTGTATCCTATACTCATAATATTTCACAAATGATGAATAGTTAATGGGCCCAGCATGGCCAGATGGTTAGGGTGCTCGACTCGCAATCTGTGGGTAGTGTGTTTGAATCCCCGTCCCACCAAACATGTTTCCCCTTTCAGCCATGGGGGCATTATAATGTGATGGTCAATCTTACTATTTGTTAGTAAAAGAGTAGCCCAAGAGTTGGCGGTGGGTGGTGATGACTAGCTGCCTTCCCTCTGCTAAATTAGAGACGGCTAGTGCAGATAGCCCTTGTGTAGCTTTGCGCGACATCCAAAACAAACAAACGAACGAATAGTTAATGAAGTATACAGTCATTGAGTTTAGATTGACATAGTATATGAGATAGTGATCTTCACTAGCATCAGTTAAAATTGTAATATATTGTTTTGGTACAAGACTGATTAGATATAATGTTTGTCACATTTTATGAAACAAAAATTCAAATTCAAACATTCTTAGCTATAATGATTTATTAGAATGTTTTTGTAATGGTAAAATTCTGCTTTATAGTTGCTTTTGCAAAGTTAAAATTATTTGATACCCTATATTCATTAAGATGTTCTATCAACATTAAAATACATTTCAAATTCAGTTAATCAAAGATTTTAACACACTTGAAATGTGACAAAGAATGTAAAGATAATAGCTTAAAATTTCTAACAAGTATCATCTGTTCTGAATAATGCTCATATGATTTTACTGGTTACTCTATAGTTACCACACCACTCTTTACCCATTGTGGAACAACAAGAAGCTATATTGACCCTCACACATATGAAGATCCTAACCAAGCAGTAAGGGAATTTGCCAAGGAAATAGATGCCCTTCACATAACTATTGAAGCTATAATTGGTGGAGGTATGTCACTGATCTAGATTTTATCACTTAAGAGCAGTTATATTAGTGGTACAGTTTGCTGCAATGTCTAATAACCTTTCATGGTAGTAACTGTAATAATTTGTCTAGTATTTAAATACTTATATTATTCCGAATAATTGTATTTTAGTTACTACTTGTCTGCAGTCTCGTTCAGTATAGAGTTGAGATGTGTTTTTTAGCTATGATCAGTTATTTGTCCTCACTTCCAAAATTAGCAATGCATGCTCATCAGTCAGTTCTCTCTGCCTGATGTCTCTACAATAGTTTATAATTTAATGAATTCTCAGTAAGCTAAATCATAATCTGATGTAGGAAAACACTAATTATTTTCAGCCCAATAGCAGCATAGTACTGTTTCTGTATTTATATTCATAAAAATGATAACCCTGTGGTATATTCAAATGAAGTCAGTTAACTTGGGAACTATATCAAATAAGTCTGCTAAACAGAAGATTCATTCTGAAATTTGGTATTGCAAAACAATGTTAAAATTATTTCTGGCTGAGCTTAAGCTATGGAATAAACAGAGTTGACATATTGTGGAATATAAAATAAATGCTCTCTTTATAGATTGAGAAAAAAACACTGTGTATTTACTTGATGGTTCATAGCATTTTCTTCAGATGTTCTTGGATCAGGATCATCTATTACACTGCCTGAATGCAAGGTTTCACTATTTTCAATAATTTCAGCTAGAAATCAAACATGTACAAACATGCGGTAACAAGTATGTTTCGTGGTGTTAACAAGTTTTCTCTATGCAAGTGGGAAGCTTAAATATTTCAACTCGCAAAATAAAAGTACATTTGTGAAAGGGAGCAAAAGTCAAAGTTAGGGTAATTAGCTTTTTTTTATTACTTTATTCAAAACAAATGTTAATAAGTCTTGTATCAAAACATAATTCTAAATCTTAGCATTTCATTTATAGTTTCATTTTCTATATTATTTGTGGGTGGAAAATCAGAATTTGTAAAAACATTTTGTATCTTCATAAAAATGAGATACCAGAATGGAACTAGATTTTTACAGAAATAAATTTTTGTTTTAATCTTATCAATTTTAAACATGCTGAAATTATTCGTTATATTCATTTTTAAATTGTCCCATGCTCATTGCTACTACTAATTTCTTCATGATTGCTTAAAAACTGTTACATAAATTTTACCTCTTCTTAATTGACTGTAAAGAAACAGTATAATATGGAGGTCTGTAACCAGGATTTAGAGAAGGGGGTTTTAATTACTGTATTATTATGCTAGGTCTAAGTAATTGTTTGATCTTACCTGGCTTTCAGTAATAAGCTAATCTGATTACCTTACCTTTTGCTTGGAAGCATATCAGTCAGCATATAATAACTTTTCACATTTTTAATTTTCTGAATTTGGTCAAAAATCCATCTCTTTTACTTTCTCTCTGTTGAAGGCAATTTGGTTCTTTCTTTGTAAGAAGAGCGAGTTCAATGCAATTTATATTCAAGCTTGAGATGCTGCGTGTATCTCACTTTTAATGGTAACAGTATTGGAATTAGACTCCGGCTTCAGTAGTCCTACATTGCAACAAGGTAGGCTAAATAAACAAAAAATCAATAAAACATGCCAAAGACATATTTAGACTTTCAAAGTGTTATCTGCTGCCTTAAACTACACTAACCTGGTTAAGAATAATAAACCCATGGAACAGGGTATAACACACTACATCAGTGCGAGACCATACTTATATTACAACTAGAGAAATTGCATAAAAAACTTTTGTAAAATAAGAGTAGAATGAAAAAATGTAGTAGTTTAAAAAGAGTTACAGCCTAGTTATATGAATTTTTTTTCAATAAATGATAATATATATGTCACAAGCATTCAACATTCTACATTGATGAAAAATATGTTGACAAAATACAAGTAAAAAAAAGAGCAAATATAGATGAAGAAGTGACACAAAAATGTATACAGTGTCAAGGTAACATAAGTAATTTATTTCATTGATTTAAAATAATGTATTCTAGTCAAGAAGGAGTTAACTGTTGATTTTTTTTCTGTAACCAACATACATTTAGTACTGAGATTTTAATTTTCAAACAACCATACAAGATATCTTTTTTGTACTTAAAATACATCTTATTAACCTTATTCAGTTTGTGATATGGATTGTTTTCTTTTTGAGGTAGGGCTACTTAAGTTTATAAAAATTGAAAACAACCACAGTTTCTGCTTAAAATGACTAAACCTGTTTGTAGATTGTTGGTTGGTATACTTTAGTAAAGGATATTGTATGACAAGTAACATCTTTTTCTGTCATTCAGGTGAGTTTGGGGATGTGTGTAAAGGTAAGCTTAAAGCCCCAGGCCGACCTGAGATTACAGTGGCTATCAAAACCCTTAAACCAGGCTCTCCTGACAAGGCTCGAATGGACTTCCTCACTGAGGCCAGCATCATGGGACAGTTTGACCATCCCAACGTTATCTACCTTCAGGGTGTTGTTACAAAAAGTAACCCAGTTATGATCATCACCGAGTATATGGAGAATGGATCTCTGGATACTTTTTTACGAGCAAGTTTTAGATTTATTAAAATATTAAGTTTAGGAAACTAAGAAGTAACTTTAATAAACCATTCTGCACTGTATAAAACTTGATTAATGTTTGCACACGTCCTGCTTAATATACAATGTGGCCTAGAAAGAGGTATTCTGAAATGACAACTTTAATGTTTATTCATATTCCTACAGAAGCAAATGGTAACATTGATTAATATTTCAGTCACTCTTAAAACAGTGAATCGCCACAAACTTCAGCTCAGTGCAGTTTATTTACTTGAGTTCACTGCAGAAGAAAAATGTGCTCTACATGAAACAAAGGAATCACTAAATTTGATTTATGTTGTTTTTTTTTGGCCACCCCATACTATGCCTTCATCATATTAAGGACATTTCAGAAACAGTATGCTGTTGTTTTTCTAGTATTATTTTTGTCATTTATTTTACAAACTTAAAGCTAGAAAGAATTAATCTTTGTTTAGTCTTCATAAAAGTTATTTAAATTTTCTTGTTTAATCTTGTATTCAGTATATATATATATATATAAATAAACCATCAATATTTTGAAATAAACGAATCAGAACTTAATGTATTATTGAAGTTTACCTTCAATGATATATTAATTAATTTGATATGCACAATGTTGTGCAAAAATTATTGTTATTATATGTTTGTTCTGTGTGTCTAGGCAAATGATGGGAAGTTCCAGGTTATTCAGTTGGTTGGAATGTTGCGAGGAATTGCAGCAGGAATGCAGTACCTATCGGAGATGAGCTATGTCCACAGGGTAAGTAGCTTAATAAAGATATTGACTAAAAATCAGTTAGTTGTTTTATCAAAGCACTGTAATGCTACATTAGACAAACTTCCAGAATGATCTACTGCTGTACATTGATGAATTTTATGCCAAAACTTTAAAAATTAGATATTACATAAAGCTCATTTAGTGACTTATTTTCTACCAGTATTAGTAATTTTGATTGTTAGGAGAATTGTGTTTTGCAATCAGTATATAAAACTGAAATAATACATGGAAAATTTAAAAGTTCTTTAAATAGATGTATACTTTAAGTATACTTAATTACTATCACATTTCATATGATGAGGAAGATCAGGCTAGCCATCAAAAATTTAAGTAAAGCTGATGGATTAGACTAATAAATAGTTTAGCTTGTTTTTTTTTAGTTTGTCCAATGAATATCAGTATTATTTTGTAGGTTCTATTATCTTTGCAAATATTAGTTATGTGAAAAATCTGTAGTTGCCTTATTCATCTGGGTCATTTGTGAGATCAGTGCAAATCCAGAATATAATAAAGGCTGAGCTGCCTTGTCTCTTTACCTCAAGCATGTACATATTTTTTGCGATGTAAAAAATTATGCTTATATAGTTATAACTCAGCTGATTATGGTATTTAACATTTTCTACATAGTATACATTCTTCTGATGAAGCATTAGCATTTTTCGCTTTAAATAGTTATGTGCAATGGCTTTTGTTGACACTTTGCAATTGGAAGCTAGAAGCTGTATTGCTACTTTCAGGTTTTGTAGGCCGGATTCTTTACAGTAGGTGTCTGTGACTCATGGACAGTAAATTTCAACAATAAACAAACAGCAACCCAGTCCACTTGTTTTAAAATAATATATTAAAACAAGTCAAACATATAAACAAATGTTCATTACACTATTGGTTGTATCCAGAAACTGTATGGGAGTT